GTTGCTGGTCTTTGACGAATCAAACTCTCTTGCAAAGGTATAGTACCTATAACTATAGGTATACTTATAGGAAAATCTTTGTGACCACTAACATGAGCTATAATCTTCATTAAATATTCAACACGTATGAAATTACAATTAACTTCACTTGGTGGCACTGAAGGTATAATAAATTGTCCCTTCCATAGACGACTCGACAAACGTTTACATGGTTCAATAAATGTTATGCGTAAAATAATATTTTCATCGGTGAATTCTTTTTTCTTAGGCAACAGCAAATCCGTTGATTTCGCAATGCATAGGAATTTTTGTGAAAATTCTAAAGTATAACCATCTACATCAGTTTTCGATTGATTATTTATGTGGAATGTGTATTTGACAGTTTGGCCAGGTGCGTATGCACTGAAGGGAATTTGTACGTTGTAGAATATTTTACCACTCGTATAGGGTGTATAGGAGTCATCGACGGAAATGTTTAGCTAGGGGTAGAAGAGATAATAATAATTAATATTTAAAGCAAATTTTGTTTTATAAATATAGTAAATTTTGAATAATTTATAAATATATTTTAATACTACATAGACATAATTGCCTAAACACTGATATAGTATGTTTAACTTTTGTTTTAATTTCACTTTAAAATATTAGTTTCTAATACAACCTCTTGTAAAGAAATTCTTTTACAATAACTAAGCCTTCTATGCACTTCTCACTTATAATGTACCCATCTTTCTATGCATAGTAAAGTCAACTGTGTTTGTTAGTGGTGCGGCTGTGAGGGGTCGAAGGAAAAAGACGGGGAGGAGGGGCGCACAGCGGAAGGACGGGGGGAAACGAAAAAGCGGCAAGACGGCCAAAAAAAAAAGGGCGCGGGCGGAGAGGACAGAGGGACAGAGGGGGCAAAAGAAGAGAAAGACGGGGGAAAGGGGGGCAAAAGGAAAAGGGACGCGGGGGGAAAAAAAAGCGAACGAACGAACGAACGAACGAACGAACGAACGAACGAACGAACGAAACGAACGAACGAACGAAACGAAACGAACGAACGAACGAAGAACGAACGAACGAACGAACGAACGAACGAACGAACGAACGAACGAACGAACGAACGCGAACGAACGAACGAACGAAACGAACGAAAACGAACGAACGAACGAACGAACGAACGAACGAACGAACGAACGAACGAACGAACGAACGACGAACGAACGAACGAAACGAACGAACGAACGAACGAAAACGAACGAACGAACGAACGAAACGAACGAAAACGAACGAACGAACGAACGAACGAACGAACGAACGAACGAACGAAACGAACGAACGAACGAACGAACGAACGAACGAACGAACGAACTAACGAAACGAACGAACGAACGAACGAACGAACGAACGAAAGAACGAACGAACGAACGAAACGAACGAAGAACGAACGAACGAACGAACGAAACGAACGAACGAACGAACGAACGAAAACGAACGAACGAACGAACGAACGAAGAACGAACGAACGAAAGAACGAACGAACGAACGAAACGAACGAACGAACGAACGAACGAACGAACGAACGAAAACGAACGAAAACGAACGAACGAACGAAACGAACGAACGAACGAACGAACGAACGAACGAACGAACGAACGAACGAAACGAACAACGAACGAACACGAACGAACGAACGAACGAAAACGAACGAACGAACGAACGAACGAACGAACGAACGAACGAACAACGAACGAACGAACTAACGAACGAACGAACGAACGAACGAACGAACGAACGAAACTAACGAACGAACGAACGAACGAAAACGAACGAACGAACGAACGAACGAACGAACGAACGAACGAACGAAACGAACGAACGAAAACGAACGAACGAACGAACGAAGAACGAACGAACGAACGAACGAACGAACGAACGAAAAAAAAAAGAACGAACGAAACGAACGAACGAACGAAGAACGAACGAACGACGAACGAACGAACGAACGAACGAACAGAACGAACGAACGAACGAACGAACGAACGAACGAAACGAAACGAAGAACGAACGAACGAACGAACGAACGAACACGAACGAACGAACGAACGAACGAACGAACGAACGAAACGAACGAAAGAACGAAACGAACAACGAACGAACGAAACGAACGAAACGAACGAACGAAACGAACGAACGAACGAACGAACGAACGAACGAACGAACTAACGAAACGAACGAACGAAAACGAACTAACGAACGAACTGAACGAACGAACTAACGAACTAAACTAACGAACGAACTAACAACTAACTAACGAACTAACGAACTAACTAACTAACGAACGAACGAACGAACTAACGAACGACTAACGAACTAACAACTAACGAACGAACTAACTAACTAACTAACTAACTAACTAACTAACTAACTAACTAACTAACTAACTAACTAACTAACTAAACTAACTAACTAACTAACTACTAACTAACTAACTAACTAACTAACTAACTAACTAACTAACTAAAAGAACTAAACTAACTAAATAATAACTATCTCAATAACTAACTAACTAACTAACTACTAACTAATAACTAACTAACTAACTAACACACTAACTAACTGAGCAACGGGATGCCAGTGGATAGTGATCTTCTTCGTAAAGGTAATGACTATCGGCCCTATATTCACCCTACCTCCATGTTAAAAGTCCTCTCGGTAAATACGTTTAACGCTTATGATTAGCTATAAAATTTTGACATAAACCGGTTTTGTAGCAACTAAAATCTTTCTGACAAAAAATATAACGCTTTTAAAAATTAAAAGATTTTCAAGGAAACTTAGATCAATCTGGCGAATTTTTATGAACATCGGTCTATAATTGATACCACCCATATATATAAGGTATCTTTCCAATTATGACAATGTATAATGCTCATAACTTGCTTCTAAATGTGAGTACAATAACGAAATTTGACATAAACAGGTTTTATAGGAATTATAAAATTATCGGTCCATATTGGACCCTACTTCGATATAAACATTCATAAATTTCTTTCTAGCAACGAAATTCGACATAAACTATAGTAAGTAATATCTTTCTCCAGGTTTATGAATAAAGTTATCGAATCATATAGTATAGGACCTACCAAAATTCACATGAGCACGGCTGAGCACAGAACTCTTACTTGTTTTCTTATAAACAATTTTATGAAATCACTGTAACCAAATTACTGAAGTAGTTGCGGATTTTTAACTACATTCCAACGATTACTATGGATATCTTATTTTTCTAATCCTCATTTCTTTATTATCATGCATCATACAAATTATTTTGTTTGAATTATTTATGCAAATTCAATGTCTGCTGCATTAGCACACATGCACACACACACACACACAATACTTACCATTATATTTCACTTACCTTATAATCACGATGTAAATTTAAATCAACTTTTTGCAAAACCGTTAATGGTTTTTTAAATACAAAATTATCTAGACCAAAGGGACCTTTCAATTTCAACGACAATACATAGCGTATATAACCATATTTGCATTCACAGGAAGTGGGACACAGCGGTGGCAAGGCAATATCGAATGTATAGGTGTATGTGCCCGGCTGTAGAACATTCTCAATACGCAAATTAGTACCATTGTCAATATAAGTTTCATGCGATTTATAATATGTAGTATGACGACCAGCATGCTCGCACCATTTAATTTTGGCCTCACCCAATACAAAAATACGCACATCTTGGAAATGGGATTATATAAAAGAAAATATATGTATGTATATATTAATTGTTGCTTTATGAAATTATAATTTGTGCAATTACATATTATTTTCACAGAAACTTACTTCTTACATCTTGTACAAAAGTTATATTAACAATGGCTTGACCACTTATAGATTCACCACTATAATATACAGCATTTGGTTTATTTAATATAAATTTACAAGTTGAAGGCATTTTGCAAAATAAACTTTATATTCTTTAATTATTAGTTATTCTATATTATAGTTGAGTTTATTTTTTTTTTTTTTTTTTTTTGCAAACTTTCTGTTTTCATACACAAATTTTTGTTTAGTATAGAATTTAGTTCTACAACTGAATGTTTTTCATTTACTTTCACTGGAGCTCTGCTGGTTGCATCTAGTATCCTGCAAGTTTTATTTTATACTGAATATACAATTCATAACAAGTTTTTATTTTGGCATCATGGCTAGGATATACCATGTGCTTTGCCTGCTTGATTTGTTTTTCTTCTTTCCTACCATAGCTATGACATCACTTGCCACACAGTATGTCCATTTGTTGTACTATGTCTGTTTTTGGGGGTTTTTTTAAGTGGTTTTTGGCACTCGTTGCAGTTAAAGTTCATTGGTACGTATACGTCGTTATTTTTTTAAACAAAATATATATTTCCCTTAACGCCTGCCAATTATTACAATCAAAACATTAAATTCAATTTTTTATTTGTAGGCCTTTCGAAAAAATGGCAACAGATAGTAAGGTGATAAAAGTGATGTATTTGTTGAAGGAAATTGTATATAGTAAGGGAAAAACTTTAAAAACCTAACTGCCTAGAAATATCTCAAATTTAAACTCTTTAAAAAAAAACGGTTAACATCTTTTTATACCCTACACCACTTTAGTGGGGAGGGTATATTGGGTTTGTGCTGATGTTTGTAACATACAAAAATATTCGTCCTATACCCACCTTAAAGTATACCAATCGGCTTAGAATCGTTTTCTGAGTCGATTAAGCTATGTCCGTCTGTCCGTCCGTCTGGCTGGCTGTCCTTTTAAACCTTGTGCGCAAGGTCGCAATTTTCAAGATAATTGGATGAAATTTCGCACAAGGAGCCCCCATACAACAGAACCCCCCGAAAAGGGCTTCTGAGCTCATAATTATATTAAAAATACCTGTAAAATAAATCACATTTAATATTCATAACTGGTGTAGGGTATCATATGGTCGGTCACGCCCGACTATACTTTCTTACTTGTTTTAATAAACAAATCTAGTTGCAGATTTATAGTCGGTTATGCCGAATTATGTATACACTTCTGTTTACCGTAATAAGAAGTGTATGAATATGGAGGTGCTTTACGTAGACACCTGAATCTCGAATATTTGACTATACATACCTACGTGGACAGCCTTGCAAGACTCTTATTCTCTTCCAATGTTATAAGGACGACCAACCAAAGGGTTGTCCCTAAACATAACCCTTACGCAAAGGGATATTCACACTCCCCTTTTGAGCCTATCAGAATTGATAGGGCTTTGAGTGAAACGGAACTCAGATGGTCAAATATCACCACTTGTAGAATATCGAGACTGCTCTGGCCCACTATGGCAAAGGATGGGACTAAGACTCTCCTGTCTTTAAGTAAGAACCCGATTCTCACGGGTATAATTACTGAGCACTGTAGGATTGGGTATATGTCGGAACGTATGAGCTACCCATGTTATAGCTACTGTAGATGTTGTTTGTACGAAGAAAAAGAAGAATCGGTACAACACCTTCTATGTGACTGTCTAGCCCTACAAGAACATAGACTACTCTATCTTGATACAGTTCTTTTCCATGATCTGGACAGTCTTGGTTTGGTCCATTTCGGAATATTTTGATGACATTTTGAAAACCACTAAAGTCGTTTTGTGGGCCAGGAAGAAATATGTTATTTTGAGACCCATTTCGGAAAAGATTACAGACAATTTTTTTGAACCAAGATCAAGATTTTTGAACGCCCTATGTATGAATAGGCTACAAAACCATATTATGAATCCCAGTTTAATGGGGACTAGGTAAAGTAATTCACCGTTTAACGATTTTTGTTGAAGTATCTTTAAATAGTTTTACATAGACGGACATACGGACAGAAAATTATTCTTGGCGAGGTAGGTGGAACACCAATATTTTATACCTTTAACTTTAAAGGTCCCACCCTATCTTCATATTAATCGAAAATAATAATAAAGCATCACATTAGTCGTTACTTACCTTCCCCAAACATCCACCGTCAATGCATTTAACTTATTCAACTTTTCAATTTTAGAATCAATTGCTACCCCCTCATACAAACATTTCGCTTTGTAGGTCATGTTTTATCTTCTTCAGTGAAATATATTTCATATATTTAGAAGAAATTCTCTTCCAAAAAAAAAAAACAATTTTACTTAGTAATTTTTTGTTTATAACACATGCGTGATTAAGATATAACTGTATAAATTGTTCAACTTATTTTCTTGCTCTAACTATTTCAGCTCCTATCTATGGATGTAATAGGAAATTCTAAAATAAGAAACTTGCATAAAGTATTGCAATTTCTTTCGAAATATGACTGACATTTGATGTTTTCTTTTTTTTTTTTTTTTTTTGTTCTCATCTTAAGAGCCTTAAGCAAGTTTTCATTAAGATTCTAAGAATTTCAATAGCAGCATCAAGAAGTGGATAAATAAGAAATGGACAAATGCTTAGTATTACGAATGAGGGTAAAATTTAAAACAAGGTTGAAGGTCTAGGTTATATAAAAAGTATAAATGTGTCAGTAAAAATGACATAAAGAATTTTACAACAAAATTGAATTGATTAAGGAAACGTGTTTCCGAAAGTTAGTTTTTAAGGTAAAACTTATGTATATGACATACATATACATATATGTATAGCAAATGAAAGACAGATATAACTCAAAATTTGTTTCTTGTTAACTCCACAAGCATGTGCTTCAAAACAACGACTTTATATGTCTTCCATATATTTTTATACATTTTCTAAAATTTATTTTATTTACAGTGTAAGACCAAATGCATACTCATCATACCATGAATATTTCAATAGGAAAATTTTTATTTAAAAAGATCCGACAGTATCTTTTGGTACCCACCATCCAAAAACATAGATATTTGGCCTAAAAACTATATATACTGTATCCATACTATGTATACTGGATCCATATTAGATTTGCTACGCTCTAAATATATATGTACGTCTGTTGCACGACAAGATCCAAACTTTAGGAGTTAGAAGATGACAAATTTTACATAGATAAGGTTCGTTTGTTATTATAAATGGACAATACCAGTCCACGATTTCTCATAACCCCGGAATAATGATTAAATACTTTCATATTAAATTAGTCCCCACATAACGTTTATTTCCAAAAATCTCTCCAACGTTTTTAAGTGGCTTTACACGATAAGGTCCAACAAATTATCGAAATTAAAGAAATAGAATTAAATACTTTGATATTAATTTGGTCCCCACATTAGTTAGTTAGCTAGTTAGTTAGTTAGTAGTTAGTTAGTTAGTTAGTTAGTTAGTTAGTTAGTTAGTTAGTTAGTTAGTTAGTTAGTTAGTTAGTTAGTTAGTTAGTTAGTTAGTTAATTAGTTAGTTAGTTAGTTAGTTAGTTAGTTAGTTAGTTAGTTAGTTAGTTAGTTAGTTAGTTAGTAGTTAGTTAGTTAGTTAGTTAGTTAGTTAGTTAGTTAGTTAGTAGTTAGTTAGTTAGTTAGTTAGTTAGTTAGTTAGTTAGTTAGTTAGTTAGTTAGTTAGTTAGTTAGTTAGTAGTTAGTTAGTTAGTAGTTAGTTAGTTAGTAGTTAGTTAGTTAGTTAGTAGTAGTTAGGTTAGTTAGTTAGTTAGTTAGTTAGTTAGTTAGTAGTTAGTTAGTTAGTTAGTAGTAGTTAGTTAGTTAGTTAGTAGTTAGTAGTTAGTAGTTAGTTAGTTAGTTAGTTAGTTAGTTAGTTAGTTAGTTAGTTAGTAGTTAGTTAGTTAGTTAGTTAGTTAGTTAGTTAGTTAGTTAGTTAGTTAGTTAGTTAGGTAGTTAGTTAGTTAGTTAGTTAGTAGTTAGTTAGTTAGTTAGTTAGTTAGTTAGTTAGTTAGTAGTTAGTTAGTTAGTTAGTTAGTTAGTTAGTTAGTGTTAGTTAGTTAGTTAGTTAGTTAGTTAGTTAGTTAGTTAGTTAGTTAGTTAGTTAGTAGTTAGTTAGTTAGTTAGTTAGTTAGTTAGTTAGTTAGTAGTTAGTTAGTTAGTTAGTAGGTAGTTAGTTAGTAGTTAGTTAGTTAGTTAGTTAGTTAGTTAGTTAGTTAGTAGTTAGTTAGTAGTTAGTAGTTAGTTAGTTAGTTAGTAGTTAGTTAGTTAGTAGTTAGTTAGTTAGTAGTTAGTTAGTTAGTTAGTTAGTAGTTAGTTAGTTAGTTAGTAGTTAGTTAGTTAGTAGTTATAATGTATCTTACAATGTCTCTTTCAGAAAATTAATACTTCATCAATATATTGCAATCAATTACATGACTTCTTATTCTATCGGTGTAGGGTCTCGTGCTGGTATAACTTTTTGTTTAAAAATATATTTGATGATTCAAATTCTTATCCAGTAAAAATTAAAAAAAAATCATATCAAATACTTAAAAAACTTGAGGCAAAAATTTGATAAAAAATAAATCTGTGGTCTAAAGCGACAAGAGCCTAAATCTATAATCATACTTTCGAGGGAAATCACTTGAAAAAAATAACCGTTTCCGAAATGTGGGTTTTTAGTCATCTCTATATTCTGATTTTGCTGAAATAAATGCAAATTCGCTTTCAGTAAGTTATTTATATGAATTTTTTGCAATATATTGAATTAAATTCTTTGTAAAAGTATTAAACATTCCAAAAGCTTTAATATTTCTGGTTTTTTGAATTTCTCAATTTAGTTACATTGCATTATATGAAAAGCTCAGAAGTTTTAACAAGTTCTATGTTGTGTTACTAGTTTTAAGGGGATTCCCACAGAATAAAACCCAAACAAAGTCAATAAAAAAAGCACTTTCACAGCAAACTCTTTACAGACTACAAAATATAAACAACAGCAAAACAGAAAAGCTCTCACCCAACACAGACTAATGATGTCATTACCAACGAATATGCTCTTTATATTGAAATGGAACTCTTAAAATGAATGCATTACACACCACAAAATCTTTATAAGACACAATTAGATTTTTGTAACAAATAAAATTTATTAAGGTTTTAGAATTATGTCGTTTATTTCCAAGATATAAGAGTCTGTAAGATAGTTTGAAAGTATCAGAAGAAATACATTTAGGTCACCTTTAGACTTGTAGTGCGCTTCTGTTACAGTGTCCCTAGCGGTTAACCAACTAAACTACCGGAGGCTTTAATTTTTGTAAAAACATTTTAATCCTATAATTATTTCGTGAACTGTAGATGCCTTGTTTGTTTTTATGATAACATTATACACACACTTATTGTTGGAAGAAAATTATTAATTTGTCGAACCCCACAGTCAGTTTACTCAGGAGTCTTGAATAATTAATTACAAATACTCGGTTAATAAAATATAATGTTTTAGTTTAAAGTTTTTAATTGTTTATTAAAATATTACTATTATTCAATATAAATATAAACAAACAATTTTTA